TATTCAGCCAGCTACGGCCGGCCATAAAAGCTTATCTTAAGTCCCGAAAGTCGTTAACTACCCACTTTCCATAATAAAACATTGAATCCATTTAAAAGTGGATAATGTGTTAAAATTTGCATAGACCGGTCGTGACGTCATTAACGGCGAAATTTTTTTATGATACAGGACAGATAAGCATTAAACATCTGAACAAGATGTGTTGTCGACTTATTTTGTCTTTTTAGTGATAGCGGACGACAGATAGGCATGGGGTTTATTTCATGGTAGGTAATAGGTAGTAGTCCAGCCATTAAACTTCTCAACAAGATGTGTTGTCGACTTATTTTGGCTTTTTAATGATAGCGCTAGACAGGTCAGCATGGAGTTCATTGGATGGTATGTGAAATGCCCATGGAGATATAAGATCTAATGAAGATGCGTAGTTGACCTATTTTGGATTTGGATATTGAGATATTTACAGAAATGCGATTAAACTTCACAGCTCTTTCATCTGTGGTTCCTGAAGTACGGAATTTGGTTATAACCAAATTTAATATCCAGATGTCCAGACGAACTCCAACATGTTTCCGAAAAATTATAGATTTAATTCAGAAACAAGTTGATTATCTATCTTTACTATTATATAAAGCTGAAGAGTTTGTTTGTTTGAACGCCCTAGTCTCAACTACTGGTTCGAATTGAAAAATTGGTGTTGGTTAGAGCATTTATGTCTGTCTTCGATCATAATGACACGCATTCTGAAGTTCTTTGGTCATATTTCTAGAAATGAGGATTCCCTGGAGAGACTAGTCATACAAGGAAGAGTTGAAGGAAAGCGTTCACGTGGTCGTTCTCCTACCCGCTGGGCCGACCTTATCAGCACTACCACCGGATCTTCACTTGAACAGTGTAGCCGCGATGCAAAAGACCGTCAAAGATGGAGGAGGATAGTCCTTAAAGCATGCTCGAACACCGAGGACACCCCACGAACTACGACATCATCATCACAGACCACGACCACTCTAAGCTGAGTGCACGACTGAGAAGAAGAGAGAGCATTTATCGACGACGGTAATTAGGCTATAAAACATCGCGCTGTGAATAATGGAGGTGAAGTAACAGCGGGTAATGTAAAAAAAAAGAGAAAATTATCCACCCTTTTGCGTTCCAGTTGCGTATGCTGCGAAAACCCTTCAAGATACCCAAATAATTGTACGAAAGAATGATTCCTCTTCGAATGCTCTAAAAAAATGTCTCCGACGAATTTATCTATTCAAGATTAACTTGCAAGAACAACAGCACATAGCATAGCATAGGGTAACAGTTTAAATTAAAAAAAAAACTTTAACGGTTTAAAACGCGATATATTAGTAAAACTTATTTGAAAATCATTTTTAACTTCTGCCCGACGTTCCGGATGCCTTGCAGCAGCCATGCTCACGGGGAGACTGCTAAAAATCATTTTCAAATAAGTTTAGCTAATATATCGCGTTTTAAACGGTTAAAGTGTTTTATTTAAATATGTACTAGTCGCGTAAACTATAGACAGTATTTAGCTTAAATTTATAAACATGACATATTCTACGCGGACAAAGTCGCTGACACATCTAGTTAGCCGTACCATACCGTTAGCCTGACAAACTTACGTCATTTTACGTATCGGCGATCTGTCATAAATTAATGGCGATCTTTATTTAACGACGACGTTGACAGCTCACGATTTGAATATTCAAAGCAAGTCGAGGCTTAGTTTGATACTCGTTCGCTTAAATTACGGGAGAAATTTAAATAAACCGATTGAATCGTGCATTGTAGTAGTGCGTTAATTTTTATGCTTTGTATGTAGTTTACCCTAGTAGTACACATTTAAATATAACACTTAACGGTTTGAAACGCGAAACGAGTCAGTTATTACAATTATTGTAAAGTTAATTTATTTAACTTAATGCTTTTCACAAGTCACGGTCACGGGGGGACCAAATTTGAATTAAATCAAATTACAATTATTATAAATACATTTGCACCCGCTGGTAATCAAACCTACTACTTGTTACACGTTACAAACATTTCACGTTTTAAATCGTTAAAAAGTGTGTTATTTAATTAACCCAAGAACTCCTGATCTACTGGAAATCGAACCTAAATACGACGCTGAATATTTGCTACTAACCATAGCCAATTTTAAATTTATGTGCCTTAAATTTTGTGAAGTTATTTTTATGATAGAGCCATATGACATCTAAACAAGATACGCTGTCGAGCTGTCTGTAAATATTCTGAAATACAGACTGACGCCGAAACGCTATTAAACTGCACGGCTTCCTAATCTGTGGACGGTGATTCGTGACCCCAACAAAATTTCGATATTGTTACCATCCATTTAATATCCAGATTTCCAGTTCAACGTAGTTTGTATATAGTCGACGGCACATGATTATATGGATGGCGTATTAAACCTGTTTATTAGCCACACATAGACAGCGAGCTAATTACGTAAAAAGTATACCACGTGAATGTAGTAAATGTAATAAATTATGCAGGTTGGAAGGGGGGGTCGGGGTTGGGTCCGCGAGGGGAGGGTTAATTGTTCCCCTCTCCACGTTTCCTCTGGCGAGGTTTGTACGTAAAAGCCCCTGTTTTTTGGCAAATTGGATCAATTCGAGGGCTATTTTATCTTAGTGCTTGTTTATTGCGGGTACTTTGCTGTAATCAGATTTAAAGAAGATATAACTTTTATTAATAAATAATTAAACAATTTTAAAGTTCCTATCGTTAATTTTATTTAACGACGGCTGTAAAGCAATGTCGGATTGTAGCTAAGTCAATAAGAAGTTTAAACTATGCTTGGCGTTTTAAACGGTTAAAAGTGTTTTATTTAAATTATTAACTTGTCAGTCAGTCAGACAAATGAAATTTAAACAGTATTGTCGTGAAATACGTATTTTTTAAAATAAAACATATTTTGAAAAATTAATAATTTTCACAGGTTTTGCACATGAAGCAATATAATTAAAAATTGATTCGACTCCAGTCTTGACCGGCATCGTGACCCACGTAGCTTGGTGCAACAGCATCGGAAAGCTGCGTTGGGCAATTCAAGTCCTGACCGGTTCGAAAAATTTTTTAAAATTTTTTTTTTGTTTTTAAATTTAAAAATAATTTTCAAACTAGTTTACCTAAAATATATCGCGTTTTAAACTGTTAGTGTTTTATCTAAATATATTATTTTATATTTTAAAGAGAGTTGAGTAAATGAATTCTCTTCTATTAAATAAAATTAGTTATAAAAACAGGAGAGAGTTAGAGCACAACAATTCGTGTTACATTGAAGGTTCTAGGTTCAAGTCTCGCAAAACCATAATAACTTAAATAATACTTACTTACTAAAATTAAACTTAACAAACAGACAGGCACAAAAAATAAATAAAAAAATCGATAAAAAATTGAAAAAAAAAATACTCGGGTAGGACGTGAACTGTGCAGAACTACTGTAACCATTATTTTTCAATTTATAATCGATTTCTAATTTGTATAGTGCCACATGTTAAAAACTCACACACACATGTTTTTTTCAAAGGCACAAAAATGTTTCTGCCCCGTGCCCCACTCTCCCTATAAATTTCTTAACATGAAGTTAAGATATAGGATAATCCTATGTGGCTCCCATTCGAGTGTGTGTGTAGGAATGCAATAAAAGTCAGATGTGTGATATAATTTGAATATTTATTTCGTAATGTCACTGGAACAACTTAAGGCTTGTGATCCACCAAAGCGGAGCGATATTTGTAATATTAAATAATATATGTTTTTAAACTTAATCTTGTTATGGATCTTATAAAAAAACTATGAATTTTCAAGTTGTTCGACGGGATGACGTTTCCGTTTCTCGACTAAACGAAGAACGACAGGTAGAACAGGTAGGTAGGTCGAAAAATACAACGGCTGAAATTCGAAATTTGAAATTCCGTTCTTTTTTTTCCATTTGAAAATGTTCTAAAAGTCGGCTACACAATAACACCTTAATTTTTTCACAGATGTATTAAAAATAATAAAGTCTGTGTTTAAAATAATAGCTGATTGTTTATTTGTACGCTATTATTTTATACTCTAATAAAAATACAAAGTTTTTTGGTTGCAACGTACTAGTCTCTTCCTTTAATAGGTTTAACACATTAGGTCTTATATTATCAAAAATCCGATAATAAAATGAAAAAAAAAACGATTCGGCCTGAACTGGAACCGGCCTCCCCAGCGTTCCGTGCTGTTGCTTTAACTAACTGTTGTACCAAGTCCTACCCGTTAGCGTTTAGGATTTAATTTATACAATGCCATCATGAGCAATAATGTGACAAATATTAAAGTTTTCAGACCTAAGCTGCTTTCCTCAAATTTTATATTTAAACAGACTAGACTTAGCTTGTGAGTTTTAATTTTTATGCCTGTGTACTACCAGCATCGAGAACATTTTCAAAAAATAGAACGTATTTTGAAATTACAATTATGGTACTGTATTTAACGTGATGGTTTGAAATTTTACTTAAAAAATACTTCGCTTTAGTGGTCAGAGGCCCTTAGAGCGAGCGGCGATGTCGTTTTGGACTCGTAACGACATCACCGCGGCTGGAATAAACTATAAAAAAACAATTCTCAACATTCTATATCAATATTATAATATGTTTTGTATATTATTTACAGTTGACTAGCATATATTTACACTAACTATAAACATGGTATGTATAACATACACCAAGCTTCGATATCATACACGACAGTCCATTTTCTTGGAGTTTTTGTAAAGTTTAAATTTCGTAATAATTACTACGTTTAAAAAAAGTGTATAACACGAACACGCGACTCTCGCCACGGTGGGTCGCTACAACTAGTGCCACCAGCATCACCAATTTTCAAACTTAGAATTCAAATATGCGAACAGTTTAGCTTTCGAAATTTAAAAAAAAGAACTCAAACAACAGTAGAGTTTCACTTCTGAAACATGAAAATGGATCTTTCCAAGAGAATCAGTATTTCTTATTCCGGCCTCGCCTATGCGAACCAAAGAGGATACGGGCGAAGGCCTGCCGAAAGTCCGGACTGAATATTGTATAGATCACTGGGTTTAACGTCGAATTGAAGTACCCAAGCCACAAGAAGAAGCTGGCCAGGTAATCGCTTATCACACACGTCTGACAGATGGGCATCACCAGCGCCATGATGAAGAACGGGAGCCAACAGAACACGAACGCGCCGGTGATGATCGCCAGGGTCTTCGCCGCTTTGCGTTCCCGTTTCGCTTCTAGCGACTCTTTCTTCTCTCGCTGCGATGGGCCTGGGGCGACTGGACGTTCTGGCTTGGAGCCGTTCGTGGCTGTGGAGGAAGACTTCTCGGGTGACACTTGAGCCTTTTCGTTGACCGTGAACGCTGTGGTCTTCGGCTCTTCGTCCAGGGTGTCTACTGTGGATGTGCTCTGGCCTTCGGTGAGGAGGAGAGCGGCGGCGATGGTCTCCGCTCTGGTGCGTTGGTTGCATTTTTTTAAGTTGAGGAAGCGTTTCTTCACGAAACGTCTGTCTCGAGCTGACTGTATGGGTCTGCCGGATGGTGGGGCGCCATCAGCTGATGAGGGTCGCGCTGGTGGTACGTCTCTGGAAGCGAAAGGTATTTATTTATATGGTTCACGAATTACTTTTATTCACAGGCAAGTGCTTAGGTATTATCTGTGGTTTGGTGTATAGTAGACTTAAAAAAAACACTGAACTGTTTAAAACTCTACATATATTAGTTAACATATTTAAAATGTATTTAGTCAACTATGCTGTTTAACTAGTTCTATTTTTTATTCTATCTTAAATTTAAGTAAAACACGTTTAACGATTTAAAACGTGAATTATTAAAAAAAAATGATTAACTACAACCTTCCAATACTGATTTAGTCCCTGCATAACCTCTACTGTTTTATAGCGTTCAAAATGTTATATATTATGCATTTTAAACCGTTTTATTTTATGTCTCTTTATTGTGTTGTAGATAATAAATATGTATTAAAAATAAATATATATACATATTATATCAATTGAAAAAAGAAATTACTACTTCTGCTGCATAGCATGTGAAACGTCTGGTCGTTGTTAAATTAAATATAAGGAAACAAGTTTAAGGAATATATTTCCCGTTTCAAACGGTAACATAACGTGGTAGCTCAATTCGTTAAATAGTATTCAATTTTTAATCTATATAACGCCATTATGTGCAAAATACTAAAGTTAAAAATAAAATGTCTATCAAAGTTTGAATACCTTCAAATTTTTCACATGTGACAGATGATGGCACTATATAAATAAAAAATTACGACTCGGGCAGGTCTTGAACCGGTCCACAGCGTTCCGCGCTATTGCTCTAACCAATTGAGCTACCGATTTTTAAAAAATGTATAATCGATTTTTAATTTTTGTCTATATACTTTAAAACATAGGCTGTCTACCCACCTGCGCCTTCTAATCCGTCTCCTGGCCGTTTGGAATATTTTCCAATACAAAATGAGGATCACAGCTAATGGCACGTAAAATGTGGAGCACGTAGCGAATATCTGATACGCGAGGTCCTGGCTGACGAGGCACTTTTGCTGCTGAGTTATCCTCGCGAGGTAATCCGGGTCCTTCCAGCCTAATTGGGGGGCAAGGGAGACGACCAGCGCCGCCGCCCACACCAGAAAGATCATGGTGAAGATCCGTTTCTCGTTTCTTATGTGGATGTAGTCTACGTCAGTTACTGCCCAGTATCTGAAAGAATCACTGACGTTTTAATAACGGTTTAAAATGCGGTATATAAATTTAGGATTCGCCAATTAAGCTACTACGTAATATAACGGTTTAGAACGCGAAATGTATAAAGCCACGTCACGGGTGCTGCAAAACATAAAAACGTCGGGCCGTAGTTAAATAGTAAATATGTTAATTATATTTCGTGTTTTAAACCTAATCTGTTTTATATGACTCTTAGTTTGTTTGCCTGTTAAAACTACTAGGAGTTCATAAGCTTAGCAAGACTGCTGCAAAGTTAAAAAAATCTCCAAATAAGTTTAACCAATTTATATCGCGTTTTAAATCGTTAAAAACGTTTTATTTAAATTTGTATTACTTTCGTAAACGACAGACAATATCTTCCTTTCCCAAGTAAGCCCTTCTTCTCTGATAAAAAAAAATAGTTTCGATCGGACAGGGCACAGAAGTCCAGACCAGTAAAAGGGACACAGGCAGTCAGGCACAGGTCTGTTTGTGCAATAAAAAGTTTTTTTTTTATAATATGTACTTGATTTTAGCTGTGCTCAATACTTAACTTATGAAATTTCATCAAAATCAGTCAAGCCGGAAGAATGCTAAACAACATTGTGACAGTATTGTTTGAAAGTTTGTAAATAGCTTGAAAATAATTACGTCTATGAATCTAGGTCTATATTTATATCTTTTTTTTGAGATAGAGGAGGACAGACAAGCCCATATAGAATATAAACAAAATGCGCCGTCGACCTATTTTTGGCTTTGGATATTCGGAATTTAGAGATGTTATATGGGTATTTCAACTTTCATCAGGCAAAGTTTCTATATCCTCCTCTACCACTAAAAATCTCAATATGTGTTGTCGACTTATTTTTAGCTGTGGATAAACGTAATTTTGTGATGTTATATAGCTGGGGTATTTATTACATTATTTTATTTTAGTATTTTTAATTATTTCGTCTACTAGCTGTGTCAGCGACTTCGTCCGCGTAGAACAGTTAATTTGGGCATCAAAATTTGTTTTTGCAAACCATATTTAGTACATATTTTAAAGATATCTTGAACCGTTTTCGCAGCGTACGCAACGGCATCCCACAAGGATGAATATTTTTTCCCCGCTTTTTTTTCACATTTCTCGCTGTATCTTCGCCCCTATTAGTCACAGGACTATGTTTTATAGCCTATAGCCTTCCTTGATAAATGCTCTAAACAACACAAAAAATCATTTTTCAATTCAAACTCGTAGTTCCCTGAGATTATCGCGTTAAACTCGTCAGCTTTATATATTAGTCTAGATACCGTAATGCAATTTACGAGACCATATTGTATTGCCTGAGTTTCTCGCATTTGTGGCTTCACCATCTTGGAATGTGGTATGCACGGAGTGTATGTCTGTCTGTCAATGGAACTTATCATAATTAAGCAAAGGTATTGGGAAGGAATTTAATTAATTCGTGTGAAGATGACTAGCACATTTTTAATATATACGCGTTAACCTCAGGAACTACTAGTTGAAATCTATACTAATATTATAAAGAGGAAAGATTTGTATTTTTGTATGTAACGGATAAACTCAAAAAGTACTGGACCGATTTTAATAATTATTTTTTTATTAGAAAGCTAAAAAAAATGTGTTGCGCGTCCTAGCTGTTAACGACGGTGGTGTATCTCGCTGGTTCAGGAGCCGCTGCGAGCGTCCAGTGTTTGAATTCCGTGCACGCGTTCGCGAATTCCTAGCTCTATTTCCTTCAAGTCGCCGCGACGATCTTGCATTTTGTTCTGCAAGAGGAACCTGAATGTTCGACGATAGAATCTCCTGGCTCGCGATTGGGACGAGTACACTCAGAAAATGTGAAAAAAAAAACAGGGAAAGTTATTTATCATTGTGAGATGTGAGGTTCGAGATATCGAAAAAAATGTGTAATTCATTTTTGAAAGAGAAAGGAGTGACGGCGAGTTTTTTGCCAGTTCTTCTCAGTCCTTCTTTTCCTTGAGTTGAGAACTGGTAGTGAATGTAAATTTAGAGTTTTAATTGGTACGACTTACTTCATAAGTTTACCTAGTTGAATAAATGATTTTTGATTTTGACGTTTGGCGTTTGACGTTTGTCTTTTTTACTTTTTCCCATATAAATAATTTCTATAAAAAAAAGTGTGGACTGTACCTGTCCGTTGCTATAGCAACGAGATGGAGAATTGATGCAGAGCTGCAAAGTACATCGCTGGAAGTCCACATATCACATAGCTCAGGTCCCAATATCCAACCTTGACTGACCTGGAAGAAGGAAAGCTCGTAAATGTCAAAGATTCTTAGATTATTTATGTTACAAAAAATTACGGTTTTAAACGCGAAATATATTACTTAAACTTATTTGAAATAAATAACAACTTCCAAAGAACAGATGGCGCTAGTGTAGCAGATTTATTTTGATATTAGAGACACCATCCATCTTTAGTCTACCCGTGACCATGACGGCATAGCATCCGAAACATCGATCCGTAGTTACAATCTATACTAATATATAAAGCTGAACAGTTTGTTTGTTTGAACGCACTAATCTCAGGAACTACGAGTTCGAATTAAAAATTATTTTTGTGGTGGTTAGAGCATTTATCGAAGCAGGTTATAGGTTATAAAACATCGCGCTGTGATTAAAAGAAGCGAAGATACAGCGGGGAATGTGAACAAACGGAGGATTTTTTTGATTGTAAACCTATCAACAACTAAGAATAAACCAAAATAACTATTACTACGACGCGGACAAAGTCGCTGACGCGTTATTACGTTTCAAGTCCGACGCTCATCTTATGAAAAATAATTTAGTAAATAATTATTAAATTTCTCGTTTAAAACCGTTGAAATGTTTAGTTTAACATGTATTTGTGTGAACACGTTCCATGCTTGAGTTGAGAAGTTTGAGGATTTTTATGTTACTATCGGTTAATCATGCATATGCCATACCTCGTAGACAGCCCCCAGCGGCATGACGAGGCATGCCACCATGAGGTCGGCTACCGCCAGCGATGCCACCAGGTAGTTGGCGACATTCTGAAGGTTTCTCTCAATTATTATTGCAGCTATTACGAAGACGTTTCCTGCGGACAAAGGATAAGTAATTAAAAAAAAATACCACTTAAAACACTTTAACGGTTTAAAACGCGATATATATAAAACTTATTTACACATTATTTTAACTACGACCTGATTTTCGCATGCTTTAAAGCAACACGAGGAGACTAAAGAGGGAGAGTGTCCTTTATAGTAAAAATAAAACTGATACCCCCGCCCCCCCTTTTCCCCCAAAATTTTTTATAAAAAAAAATTTAAAAAAATTTCTTTTTTTAAAAAAAAAAAATATTAAACCCCCCCCTTTAAAAAAAACAAATATTAAAAAAAATTAAAAACCCCCCCCCCCCCCCCCCCCACCCCCCCCACAACCGGCCCCCCCCCCCCAATAAAAAAAACCCTTTTTAAACAACAAAAAATTTTTTTTTTTTTTTTTACCCCCCCCCCCCCCCCCACAAAAAAACCCCTCTTTCCCCCCCCCCCCTTTTTTTTTTATTTATTACACACCCCCCCCCCCCCCCCCCGCCCCCCCCCCCCCCCCCTTTTTTCTTTATTTTTAAATCCCCCCCCCCAAAAAATAAAGAGGAAAAAAGATTTTTTTAATTGGGGGGGGGAAAAAAAAACCCCCACCCCCAAAACCCCCCCCCCCCCCCCAAAAAAAAAAACAAACCCCCCCCCCCCCCCTCTCCCCCCCCCCCCAAAAAAAAAAAAAACCACCCCCCCCCCAAAATTTTATATATTTTATTTTTTTTGGTCTCCCCCCCCCCCCCCCCCCCCACCCCCCCCCCCCCCCCCCCCCCCCCCCCCCCCCCCCCCCCCCCCCAAACCCACACCCCCCCCCCCACAACAAAAACCCCCCCCCCCAACAAAAAAAAACAAAAAACACCCCCCCCCACCCCCCCACCCCCCAACCCCACCCCACAAAAAAAAAAAAAAAAAAAAAAAAAAAAAAACCAAAAAAAAAAAAAAAAAACAAAAAAAAAAAAAAAAAAAAAAAAAAAAAAAAAAAAAAAACCAAAAACCCCCCCCACAAAACAAAAAAAAAAAGAAAAAAAAAACAAAAAAAAAAAAAAAAAAAAAAAAAAAAAAAAACCCCCACGCGCCCCGGAAAAAATAAAAAAAAAAAAAAAAAAATAATAATAATAATTTTTTTTTTTTTTTTTTTTTTTTTTTTTTTTATTTATTTATTTTAAGAAAGAAACAAAACAGAAACACCAATCGATTACAATTTTATAGTAAGAGTAAGTATATAATATAAAGGTGCATCCTAAAAAATGTTTCAAAGATAACTAATGTATAAAAGTAAGTTACAAGCAAATATCCTTAAAGGAATAATAATGAAATACAAAAACACAATAAGAATACAAAAAATAATAATAAAAAGCCGCAAACATGCAATTAAGTTAAATTTAAGTCAGACGCAAGTTCGTTTCTCAACATTGATAACAACTTGCGCCTGAACTCCGCAGGGGGGCACGAAAATATGTCAACATTGTTGAATCTTGTATTGTACGATTTACACATTCTACGTAGAGGCATTCGAAACCCAATATTAGTTCTAGCAGAGGGCAAGTCAAAGGTGTTACATGAACGAAGAGACCTGGCGGGGACATGAAGGTATAGTAAGCCAAGTAGTTCAGAAGAAGTCTGCTCACCTGAGCAGATCTTCTTTAACGTCATACAATCTATTAATGTTCGGCGTTGAACCAGCGTTAAAAAGTTAAATTTTCGCAGTAGATCGTCATAGTGCAAGCGGTTTCCATTCACTCGGTAATTTAGTATGCGTAAGAACTTTTTTTGGACTGCTTCAATGCTCTGTTCGTAGATTGAATAATAAGGATTCCAAATGGAGCTTGCATATTCTAGGTGGGGGAGCACGAGAGATTTGTAGAGGTAAGTATAAGTGTTTTTACTTTTAAATGGTTTAGAAACCCGTGTTATAAAGCCCAACATGCGCAAGGCAGTATTAATAATATTATCTACATGTATGTCAAGAGTAAGTTTAGTATCTAAGTGAATGCCAAGATCTTTAACAGTTGAAACTAAGGACAGTTGTACATTTCCTAGGGTGAATTGTGTTGGTATAACATTTTTATTTCTTGTGAAAATCATGTGTTTGCACTTGTTATAAGCCAGGTGTAATTTATTACGATGGCAATAAGCATCGAGTCTATTTAAATCTTCTTGAATGTAGGCTGCATCAGCTAAAGAATCAACTTTTTTAAAGAGTTTCAGGTCGTCAGCATAAAGCAAATATTTACAGTGAATGAAACATTGAGATATGTCATTAATAAAGATAGAAAAGAGCAAGGGTCCAAGTATGGAGCCCTGTGGGACGCCGGATGTAACAGTGACTGGATAGGATGTATAGCCGTTCACAGTAACTGATTGGGTGCGGTTTTGAAGATAAGCAGCAAACCACCGTAAGAGATTGCCTTTAATGCCGTTGAATGACAACTTACGTAAGAGCAACACATGATCCACTTTGTCGAAGGCTTTCTGAAAATCAGTGTAAATGGTATCGGTTTGTACTTTACTATCCAAGCTGTTGAAAACATAGTTAGTAAACAGAAGAAGATTAGTGATGGTTGATTTCCCAACGACAAAACCATGTTGTTGATCAAGTATAACATTCTTGAAACTATAGTAAATACGTCGATGCAAAAGCCTTTCTAACACTTTCGGAATAGTAGAAAGGATGGAAATGGGACGATAATTTTCAATGTTGTTTCTCGCCCCCGATTTAAATATTGGTGTAATGTGAGCAACTTTCCAGATACTTGGAAAACAACCTGATGATAAACACTTATTGTAAAGGATCTCAAGGGGCAAAGAAATCGAGTTACAGGTGCGTTTAAGAAATATGGGGCTGATATTATCCGGCCCGGCTCCTTTCTTATGGTCAAGTTTATTTAGTTCCCTACTGATCTCGGTTCTGGAAATAGATACATGGCTAATTAAAACGTGGGACTCATTTACAGCATTTTCAACCGGTGTAAAAGAATTACTGACATTCAAAGAGGGTTCAAAAGTAGACTGAAAATATTGAGAAAACATTTCTACAATAGTTTTAGGATCGCTAGATAAAATGTTTCCATATTTCATAACTTGTGGGTAACCTGAGTTATTTTTTTTAAGGGTTGACACATATTTCCAAAAATATTTAATGTTGCTTTTTAAAGAATACTCAATACTTTCTATATACCGGTTGTAACATATTTTAATAAGAGATTTAACGCGAGCTCTCAACAATGAAAATTCTTGATAATCTCGAGGATTATTATACGTTTTCCAACGACTCCATAACTTTTGTTTTCGTCTGAGACATCTAATCAAGCCTCTACTGAACCAAATGGGGTATTTGCGTGTTTTTTGTATTTTTAGTGGTATATAAGAAGTTATTATGTTATTTAATAGCGTGTAAAACAAAGTAACAGCTTCGTCACATGAAAGAGGTGTCAAAAGAGAGATCCAATCAACCTGACAAATGATAGTATTTATTGCACAATAGTCCGTATTAAAAAAATCCCTTTTTGTTAAAGAAACACTAGGCATTCTACTATGTACATCAATGTGGCTATATATTTCCAAGGCAGGGTGATGTGGGACGAGGTTAAGTAAGGGGTCTTTGGAGCGCTCAATTGAACACTGTAGAGTGGTCAGAACTAAGTCCAAAAGTCTTCCGTTTTCATTAACAATATTGTTAGTCTGTTGTAAGTCCATAAAAGACAATGTGTGTAAAAGAAGTTTGGACTGTTCCGTAACAGCAGAATCTAATAAAGCGTCAGGGCTGCATGTCCAGGTCAGATAAGGCAGGTTAAAATCTCCGGTAATTAAGTAATTGTCAAAGCGTGCACTAGAATAAATATCATACAGCTTGTGAAAATATGTACTGTATGCTGCAGAGGATGTAGAAGGCGAGAAATAGCATGCATTCAGCAAAAGACCAGCAAAAGAAGGCAAATGTATAAATATTTCTTCTAAGTCCAGTGCCTCAAGTTCAGGCAAACGCATAGCTTTAATCGAATTTTTAACCAGCACTAAAATTCCACCGCCACTCTTCTTACCCGTTAATGAAAGGTTCCTGTCACGTCTAAAAACGGTATAATCACTTGTACAAACCTCTGCGTCAAAATAAGAGCCAATTAACCAGGTCTCGACTAACACAATAACATCGTAACTGCTCAACATAATATTAAGCCGCAACTTGTCGAGCTTGCTTTTAATACCTCCACAGTTTTGATAAAAAATTGATAAATCGTGATGAGCCATTAACCATACTCAAATGTAAAATAATATAAAGTTTGAATATTAACAGATATCATCGTGCCCCAAACTGCTGTCATCGAATATAAACGAACAGAAAAACAAAAACAAATTACTATATAAAATGAGGATGATAGGTATATATTAACTAGTCATATTATTTTAGTTAAGTCATTTTCAGAACGAATTTGTATAACCTTAGACTCGTCGGATTTTCTAAGAAAAATGCAGCTGTTTTTAACCCATGCAAATTTATAGTCCTTCTCCTTTCCAAGTTGACGGGCTTTGCTGAAGATGATTTTATTTTTTAGAGTTAGATGTTCAGTCAGAAAGAAGCGATGAAGACCGTCGGGGGCAGAAGGAAGCGCAGGAACACCAGTTAATTGATCAGTTGTCAATGAGCGACGTACGCGCGCCGCAGCTATCAATTCGTCCCGTTGCCGTCGAGTAGCCAGTTGCAAAATTATGTTCTTAGGACGGTTCGTAGACAATCCTGGAGCAATACGATGGACATGCTTTATATCGCCGTCTTTTAGATCGACCCGCAGCAATTTGCCAATGGCCAAGGAAATGTGCACTAGGTTTTCACCCTTCTTCTCCGGTATATTTTGGATTTCAACGTTACAGCTACGAGAGGCTTGATCAAGGTCATCAAATTTAGACGACAAATTTTCTAGCCGAGAACGAAGTGCGACGTTTTCTTCGAGTAGATGAGTTGGCATAGATGCGCAGTCAGCCGTCCTGACTTCAAGTTGCGAAACTC